AGGACTGGTATATTCGCCGTCTCAATCACACGTGAACTCGTTTATAATAAATGAACGAGTGCCAGAAGAGCATTAGCTGTTTCAGGGCATTGCTGCTAAGAGAGACCTTGGTGTACCAAGAGTTTGATGTCTAATGTCGTCTTTATCACGGTAAAAACAGATTACTTAGAAAAAGACAGAATTCTTTTTATGAAGACAAATTTATTAAATCCAACAAAACGATCCTCTCCCTATAGACGTTAGAGAATAATTACTTGATAATAGTAAAAAACGTCTCAAAAGTGTATTTTAGTTATAAGACAGAAATATTTAATCCAAGAGCAAATTAATTTACTTCAAGCCACAAAGCCACTCTAGATTCAACAAAATATTTATTAGTTATTAGAAATGTCCGATTTTGACTTGAAAAAAAAAAGAATGAAAAATTGAGAGGTACTCAATTATTTGACTGAAGATTTATGTTTTTTAATATCAAAAAGGGTAAATTTACTGGGTTATGGACCCAACAGTATGTCTCACTGGCGTGAAAGCACACAGTTCAGTGCCAAACATTAAAGTAGCAGGATCAGGACGGAATCTTCTGAAATACTTGAGTACCATTCAGTGCCGGATAAATGCTACAGCGGCAGAAAGCACTAACGATTCAAAATATATGAGATGCCTTATACAGTGCGGCCCTGACCGCGATCGCGAGCGCACGCAAGGTCAATTACCCCTTGCGACGAAAATGGATAAGTTGAAAATAGTAAAGTGTTCTAACTGCAATATCGTTATATGTGAGGTGTTAGCCTTTGTTCAAAACAAGTTGGACGTTATGGACGAACAAAGTCTTGCGCAAATATGTGAGAGTGCATTTAGTGCTAAGGATGTTGAAGTAGCGAAGTTGTTACTATTTGAATCGCTGAGTAAGCGACCGAAGGCGCGAAAACGTCATGGCAAGACGCTGAGGAATATTGAGGACATTATATGCATGCTCAAGGAGACGGATCCCGAACAGGTACCAATTTTTGTAGCAAAAGATCTCGAGAAACTACCGCCTATATCGTTTGATCATATTGACGTGACCGCTTTGCTTAAGAAAATAGTTCTTTTGGAGAATTCCGTTAAGGATATTCAACTTAAATATGTTAAAAAGGTTGATTTGACAGAAGAAGTATATAAAGATTTCACTAGTAACTATCCGTCATTAAAACAGGCTACCAAAAACATCAATTTAAAGCGCGGGGCGTGCTATGATTTAATGCACAACAGCGGGCCGATGGCACTGACGTCATGCAATGATTTACCACCATTTGATGGTGCAAATGAACAAGATGTATTAGAGAATAGTACGTGTGTAGTGGATAATCGTACCAGCCCACCGATTTTGAGTGAGATGGGAGGGTACACGAATGAGGAAGTGCTTACTCCTTTACAACAAATGAGTCGTCCACGTTTTGAAATATTACCGCAGTCAATGACCGGTGAGGTGAATGCACGCAGTGCAGTGCAGGCCGGCGTGAGTCATAGCGCTGTTGTGCCTGAGCAATGTGCAGATATTTGTATTGAAAAGACATCAACGCGCGTGGAGGCCCATACCGCGGTTTCGAACAAAACGGTTAGTGCGAAACCTACGTGTGCGCGTACCGGGCCTCATTTCAACGTGCCGCCGGTCAGCCGTGAGGGCGTCTTGAGCGGTAATGTAAATAGAAACGAAACGTTAACCTTTCAACGTAAGTCGTTTGCGGAGATAGTTCGTAAGGAAGGAACATGGAACAGCACACCTAAGGACGAACGCTGGATTGAAGTACAGAGGAGGAGATTGAGGAACAAGTTTGTAGGAAATAAGGGAAAGGCTAATATAGATTCCGATGAGAAGTTTAAGGCAGCGGATATTCAGTTTTACATCTATAATGTGAATAAAGAGGCGACCGATAAGGATATTGCGAATTATGTTATGAAGAAAACTAGCGTTCCGATTATGCCTGTAAAAATGAACATGAAATATGAAAAGGAGTATGTGGCGTATAAGTTCTTCATACCTAAGCACAAGCTGCCTGCATTCATGAATGCGGAGCTTTGGCCGGACGGAGTATCTTTTCGTCAGTATATTACATACAGAAAATATGGCATGGGTAATAAATATCCGCGGGAAATGAAGCAATAATGTTACAGAGTGGTTATTAATTTTTAACAATTATGACAATTATGACATTTGGGAGAAATATGTATATATAATAAGCTTACTCATGGGTAGTCCGAATACTACGTATACTAAACTCCTTACTTTTAATTGTAAATGTCTGAAGAGTTCCATGGAGGACGTGAGAAAGTTGTGTAAAATGGCAGATATACTGGCGTTGCAGGAAACATGGTTACTGCCTCATGACCTATCCCTACTTAATACAGTGGATGAAGACTTTGCAAGTACGGGTACATCAGCGGTCGACACAAGTCAAGGTTTATTGAGAGGGAGACCTTTGTAACCTGGGTTCCCTACCTTTCCCTAATAAGGGTGAAAATAAAAGAAGGTAGGGCGGTTAACTGATTTAATTAAAAAGAGAAATGAATCCCAGGGTACATAAAAATTTATGATTACGTGGGCTCCGGCCTAAAGGTACGGATCGTTAGCACTCCCGGGGTTATGCACTCCCCTGGGTAAAGGCCGGCTGGAATGTAGATAGCCGGCGCCTTGTCGTGTCGGAGACGGAAGATGTTGAAGGAGGACTCCGACGGGAAGTGAACCCGGAACTGCGGCTGCCAGGCACGACGCGCGTCGCTTGAAGTTGGTGTATGCCACGTAGTGGCCGAGGGTTTTAAACCCTAACGGAGTTCCTGTAACATGTTACAGTGCGGGTATACTGCGCTGCTGTGCACGCGCCCGTTGCGATTCCGTCCCGGCAGCTTAAGGAATGCTTTACCCAATGAGGGAACGCTTACGTATTAATCCTGCTGCCGGGAGAAATCACAACGGAATTTAAAATGAAGAATAAAAAAAGATTAAGTACTTGTGGGTAGGCAGAAGGCACCCACAAGCAAGAACAAAGCTAAATAAAACGAAATAAATACAATTGTGAAATGACACGTTGACTAAAAGGAAAGTTTAAAAGGTCAAGTCACGTAAAACCGCGTGGCATCGCATGTGCCTTCGTTAATTACGCGGATTCATCAAAATTAAATAACTGGCTGTTGGATTGTTGCTGCCAGCCGTAAGGGAACGTATTTGTTTGACCTAATGATGTACAGGAACCGCGTAATTAACGAATGCACATTCCGCGACCGCCATTTTACAAAAATAGCGAATTACGAAAATAAGTGGTGTGGTATTGGAATACTCACCCGAATACGGGAACTTCTTATACTCACAAATTGTTAATTTCAAAAGCAATTGTCGTAGTTGCCGAAATGCGGATTTATATTTGCAAATTAAGTAATTAGGAGCGCGCGTAGGCGATGCCGGCTCGTGAGAAATGTGTCCGCGGGCGCCGTCGCAACTCCTTTTATATGCGAGCCGCAGAGAATCCACGCGTTCGCATTAGCACTCGTTAACCGATTATGTAAAAAAAGAGGTATGTAACGTTTTTCGTTACACCTTATGGAGGAGTAGCAATACTATGGAGGAAAAGCATGTTTAGTTCGGTTTCTATAATTGAGTCCAATGATGTGAGATTTACCGCTATAAAGATAGAGGTAAATGATAGGTCCATGATAGTGATTTGTGTTTATATGCCCACAAATGCGGCTGAAAATCTACCGATTTTCACTGAGTGTCTAGGTAAAATTAGTGCAATCATTGAAGAGCATAGGGAAACTGAAACAGTGCATGTCTTAGGTGACTTTAATGCGCATCCAGAGGAATTGTTCTGCAAGGAACTAGTGCAATTTTGTGACGAACAGCTTTGGTGTTGTATTGATATGGAGAGGTTAGGCTGTGTGTATGGTACGCACACTTTTACTAGTGATGCACATGGTTGTAACAGGTGGTTGGATCACAGCATTGTTACTGCATCGGCGCGCGAAACAGTTCGAAATGTTTGGGTTATGTATGACGTGTTTTGGTCCGACCACCTGCCTATGTTTATTGAATGTGACATTGGTGTGGTACAGGTTAAATGTAATAATACCAAAGTACCATACAACGACATTGTGTGGGGAGAGCGTGAAAATGCTCAGATTGACCTGTATCACTCTATTTGTCACGAGAAGTTGAAACAGGTGGATTTCCCGTCTGAACTAATGCATTGTGGAGATAGAATGTGTTGCGACCCTAGTCATTATATATTCTTGGATGAAATGTATAAACATGTAATTAATATAATGCAATCAGCGTCTCGACAGTCGAGTAAGCAAAAATGCTGTAGAAAAAAAGGATACATTGCGGGCTGGAATAAATATGTTGCCAGTGCTCATAGAGACGCTAGGGTTAAATTTAAAGAATGGTTGTCGGCGGGAAAACCACCCAATGGTGTTATTTTTAATGAAATGTCCGAAAGTCGTAAGCTTTTTAAGTCAAAACTGAAGTGGTGCCAACGTAGACAAGAGCAAATTAAATGTGACATTTTAGCTTCGCACCACTCGGCAAAGAACTTCAAAGGCTTTTGGAAAAGCACTAAAAAGTGGAATGTGAGCTCTGGCGTTCCCGTGAGCGTTGGTGGGGCGTGTGATAAAGTAGATATAGCCAACAATTTTAGAAGCCTATTCACAGTTAGGTCTCCGTTGATCTCTATGCCGGGTGGGGTGCAAAATGGTAAGACTGGCGTGAGGAAGAGTACCGTAAGCTTTTCTGCGAAGGAAGTTGCCTCGATCGTAAATGGCATGCAGCGTGGGAAATCACCGGGACACGACAGTCTTAGCATTGAGCATCTCAGGTATGCTGGAGTACATCTGCCGAGAGTTCTGGCTATGTTCTACACGTTGTGTTTGCAACACTCATATCTGCCAGAGAGCCTTATGAGAACTGTAGTAGTACCTCTTGTTAAAAATAGAACGGGCGACGTGTCGGACATGGCCAACTATAGACCCATCTCACTGGCAACTGTTACCGCTAAGGTTTTGGACGGTTTGCTTAACGGCCACCTTAGTAGACACATACATTTAAACGACTCTCAATTTGGCTTTCGTACTGGTCTGTCTACCGAAAGCGCCATCTGGTGCCTTAAGCGAACTGTTCAATACTATACGGAAAGGAAAACACCGGTATATGCGTGTTTCCTAGACCTGTCGAAGGCTTTTGACCTGGTAAATTACGACTTGTTGTGGGACAGACTAGGACACACGGATGTGCCGGCTGAATGTATATACTTACTAAAGTATTGGTACGGTAACCAAATAAATCAGGTGAGATGGGCTGGCGAGATGTCTGATGAATACAGATTGGAATGCGGTGTGAGGCAGGGGGGCCTTACGTCTCCCCTGCTTTTCAACCTGTATGTGAATGGGCTTCTGGACGAGCTCAGCAGCATGCATGTTGGATGTGTTATTGACGACAAGTGCGTCAATAACATCTGCTACGCAGATGACATCGTGCTGCTGGGACCGTCTATAAATAAGCTCAGGAAACTTGTTGCAGTTTGTGAGAGGTATGCGGCCGAGCATGGGCTGATGTACAACTCAAAAAAAAGTGAGTTGCTTGTTTTCAAAGCAGGCAACCGCCTCCCTAACGTTGTACCATCGCTAGTGCTCGGTGGCGTGCCTCTCGGTAGAGCATATAGTTTTAAATATCTGGGACACGTCGTAACAGACACTTTAAAAGACGACATGGATATAGAGAGGGAGCGCAGGGCTCTGGCTGTGCGTGGAAATATGCTTGCTCGTAGATTCGCTCGATGTACAAGAGAGGTAAAAATCACGCTTTTCAAAGCTTTTTGCCAATCCATGTACACGAGTGGTCTATGGGTCAGGTATACCCAGAGTACATACAATACTCTGAGAGTGCAATACAACAACATCTTCAGAATGTTGTTGGGACTACCACGGCGTTGCAGCGCGTCCGGCATGTTCGCTGAAGCGCGGACTGACGACTTTTACGCAATTAGACGCAAAAAAGTGACGTCTCTGCTGAAAAGAGTGCGTGGTGGTGGCAGCGGCATCCTGGAGATGTTTGCGTGTCGCATTGATAGCGCAATGCTGAATTTCATGTTAGGGATCACTACTGGACATATAAAGTAGGTAGTGATTCCTAACATATGTATATATTAATTGTATTGTGTCAATTTTGTACTAACATAGTTTTAAGATGTGTTGTGTTACTAATACCCCTTTTCTTTTATTTTTTAATTTTATTTTTGTGCTGTTTTTTTTATGGGCTTACGGCCTGAAATAAATGATTTTTATTTTTTTTTTATTTTATTATTTATACTATTGAAGTTAACAAAACGATAGCGCGTTTCAGAGTACAACTAATGCCATCTAGCAGTGGCGTGATGGAACTAATTGCATGTTAAAGTTGTGCTTTTTACAAGTGTAGTTTGATTTCGTGCTGAAACCAAATTTCTTAAATTATGACTACAAATAACACCCTAACAAACTAGAGATACTACGTATTGTTTCTTTGGATAAATGACTGTTTACTATTTTTATGATTAGTACAAGTAAGAGTAATCGTTACTGCGTGCGCCTTCGGCGACATGTCACGACAACATTGTCTATGAAAACGCAACGAAATGTTGCTTTAAAAATATACTCTAGAATTTAGAATATTAATCTGAATAGCAAACTACTCCTTTTTTTGTTTAAGAATATATTTTCTTAAAATACACCCAAGAAATTTTGAATTCATTTAAGCTTATTTAAATTTGATGTAAAAGGTAAAAATTTCTTGATGTGAGTAATGTCCAATGAATTGATTAGAAATTAAATAAAATCTTGAAGTGAACGTATTTGTCTAAAAGTTAGAATGAAGTTAAGAGTAAAATTGTATTAGAAAAAGATAAGCAGTATTTTTGTAATGACAATATTTCATTACTTTTAATAAAAATTTTATCAGAATTAGCTAATATTTTGAGAAATTGCTCTTTCTTATTAGTATAAATCCTTTTTTCTGTGTAGTGGTGTAGTCCTGGAGAACACGTGCGGTCCAACCGCAAAAGTTTCAGATTTTGTTAAAAAAGGGTATGATTTTATCTATCATTGAATAAATACCCGTTCTTGAGTTCTTGTGTAGATCTG